GAAATCAGCTGATCCGAGGAAAAGTTGTATGCCTGTTACAGGCAGTTGTAATTCATTTTTGTAACATCGTGGTTCACCTGTTTTACCTTTTGGTCACCACCACCACTGACCACGGGTGACAGTTTTTCAAACATCGTGGTTCACTTTTTGAATGCTGCAGTTCACTTTTTGCGACGTTTGGAAATATAATCACAACGGAAACTTGTCTTTTATAGAACATCATAATACATGTACATGTACCTGTACGTGATCAAAATACGCGTCAACTCAAGATAATACAGCGCGCACTGTACCTGCATGCGTAGAACATTCGTACCGGTATATCAGTGGCCATTTTTGGAAGATCGGTGGCGAACTGGCCAAAATGCAAATCAACTATATGTGACTGGTGTATGAGTGGGCATCCGCTATCCAGGAATAGTTAAGGGCGCACATACCGTAACTAAGGATTCTATGCTTAAGTACTGGGTTAGCACAGAATGTTTAGTGCTGTTATACCGGTGTTAGCTGTGGTAGGCACCTCCTAAAATAACTAATTCTTTTGTTATATATAACTTTATCTACACAATAAAAACCCTTTGCCTTAAAACCTCAGTCAATTCCATATTTCAAAAGGGATTTAAAGGGAAAATACAACATTTGCAAACATCAAAAAATAAAACTACCAAATCATTTTGAAATACCTTGCTGGACTGTTAGTGAATGACAGTGTAAAGCATCCTGTAAAATCATGGCACCTGGTATACTGTCATTTTCAAGAAAAGTGGTATTTTTGTATCAATTTCCAACGCTGATCGGCCGATCAGCGTTGGAAAAAACTGGCTTTTTTTCAAATACTGGCCCCAATTGACCATCGCACTTGTTTGCAATCGATTACAAACCTATGAACGGGTACGAGCCAGCTAGACTGGTTCCCTGACCTTACAATTCCCCAATGTATGTAAACTGCTCTGTTTCTTCTTATATGGAGTCAGGGAACCAGACTACAGGAAAATGATCGTTTTTCTTGGTTTTTATTGCATTTTCGAACCCAAAACCTCAAAAAGTCAGTGTAACTATATTTGCTATATATTTCCAACCCCCCAATTCCATCCATTTCTGAAAATCACAGCAAAAGCAAATGATGTATATTCCCTTTAAATAATACAAAATCAGGAAAAAATCCCAACGAAAAATCCTAACAAATCTCACCCCGGATGTACATGTAACCTGTTTCAATATAAAGCAGAAGTATTTTGTCCTTTAAAATACGTCGTCTCAAAGTTCTCCATAAAAAAGGGCGCACAGAATTTTTTTTTTTTGCTGAAATATCTGTCTCCTCAAACTAATGTGAAGAAATTATGATATCTAAAATTCAAGTCGATCCCTATAAATTCAGAATATTTCTTAATGCAAAAAGTACGATTCCAGCTGCTCAGAAGACTCAAAACTTTTCCAGGTTTTTTTTTCTAACGCCAGCACAAATCCAAGTCAAGATGCAAGGGCAACAATTTTTCCTCCTGGAGTGGCACAATTTAGCCCCAGTAATCTGGGTAGTTTGTTGACCCAGAGAAAATGCCATTAGCTGGAAACAAATGGATGATGTTACCATGCATGCAGTATGGGAGAGATGTACAGTGTATGGGGGGTCTTCAGCATGCAGATAAATGCAGTACTCATGTTCATCATTATCACAGGTTGATAAAGCGCAATGTGATTTGTTTGGTAAAAATCAGGCACATATTGGCAACAAGGGACATGTACACGTATACACATTTTTTTATTAAAAAATGAAAAATCATAGTTTACATCTGTACATGAATCAAATACCAAAATAAAGAATTTCTAAAGCATTTTGGAATGGAAAATTTAATGTGAACACCATGGCTAAAGAACTATGATAATTTATTTAAACATACATGTATACTACGTATAGTACTTTTCCCTCTTTTTATTCAATAGTTAAATTGGCGAAAAATGAAACATGTAATTAAAAAAATTGTTTTGTGAGTCCCCTACTTGTTATTTTCTGTACCACTGTCATTTTGCCTTTGAAGTTTGAGAAAGGTAGAATCGAACCAATTTTGTTAATTGTTTTTTCGTCAGCAGTTTTGAAAGAACATGCATGCACAAAGGCCAATTATATGGGGCTGCAAAAACTGCTTTGGTTATTAAGCAGCTACAATATCAAAACAATAGCTTTTGATTGGTTATTTGGTATATTTAGCTGATTTACCCGGTCATGATCGAGTAGGGCGTATGTGGGGAATAATGTCAAGGGGTGTTTTGGTTGAAAAAACATTAAACATTTATGGAAACGCAAGTGCAAGAGATACACAATTATAAGAAACTAAAGCCCTATTAGGCTGATGGAAACTGGTAAATTATCTTGTAATACTAATTAATTGTCTTATTTCATGTTTTGTTGGGAAGTGTCATCTCTGGGAAAAGTGGTGTTGGAAGAGTAGGCCCTAACTGCATTAAAAATGAAATCCCAAGAAATGAAGAATAGTCCCAGAAAAAAGCATCTTACTCTTAGGAGGTCTGTTATAACGTTTAAAGGGAATGTACAACATTTGCTTTTGCTGCAATTTTCAGAAACAAATGGATTTGGAGGATAAGTATGTTAGAGAAAATATTGTTAAACTGACTTGTTTCACGTTTTGGGCTTGTAGATGCTGGAAAAACCAAGAAAACCTATCATGTTCTTGTAGTCTGGTTCCCTGACCCCACTTAAGAAGAAACGGAGCAATTAATTCACTTTGGGGAATTGTAAGGTCAGAGAATCAGTCTAGCAGGCTTGTACCCCTTCATAGGTGTGTAATCAATTGCAAAGAAAAGTCAGAATAACTAAATATGAAAAAATAGGAACAGTTGTTGGAAAAAAGCCAGTTTTCTCCAACACTGGTCAACCGACCAGCGTTGGAAAAATACAGGTTTTTTCAAAATGTCAGCACACCAGGAGCCACAATTTTAAAGGATGCTTTAGAATGTCAGTCCCTAACAATTCAGTAAGGTATTTCGTGATAATTTGATCATTTCGTTTTTTGATGTTTGCAAATGTTGTATCTTCCCTTTAAGCAGCCCCCCCCCCCCAAATAATAAACCTCAACTGGAACCATACCAAAGTGTGGACCCTGTATAGCTCTCCATAAGTTTTCCTGGTAGTTTATTATAAGTTTACTGGACCTTTTGTTAGAATGTGTCATCTGTGGAAAAATTTAGTTAATTCTACTTTGCTAAACTCAATGAAATGCAGCCCTGCCATTTCTTGGAAATGTGCCCAAGCTGACCCACCTTCTTCAGAGAAGCGATTTATTTTCTTTCGTAATCAGGGATCCTCCCCGTAAACCGGGGAGCATGCAGAGCGCCAGCCAATGAATGGAAATTCCGTCTGCATAACTGGCAGTCCGGCAGCAATTTGCCCCATCACCCTCCCACTGTTCCCTAACCTTTCGGGAGGGGATAATCCTCGCTTCGGCGGAGTGGCCCAGAAAACCTTAGGGCACTGTCCATGCAAATTTCCTTCATGACACTTGCACAAAGGAGGACTTATTACACCACTGATTGGGCAATTCTCAGCGCAATTTGTCCATTTAGATCCGTTCCACAATACTTAGTCTTTGAAAATGCCAAACAACAATAAATAAATTTGGTCTGTGATTGCACAATGTGCATTAAAATAACGAAAACTCTAAGATTAAAAACTGTACCATGTCTAGATGCACAATTATGTTTTAATAAATTGGCAGCATATTTTAACAAAATAAAACCTATTTTCTGGTTAAATTAATTTATTGAAAATGGAAAGATTAGTTCAACAAACGCTTATACATGTATAATCCAGCATTTACATAATATGCATATACATACCGTGCATTATTTATGTGATTGGTACAAACGGTACATAATTTCCCATCTTTCCCCCACACTGTCCAGTTTATTGATAAAGATAAAATCTGTCACAAAGGATGCCATTTTGGGAACAAGCAATTTACATATTTTATGTACCAATTCAAAATATACAAAAGACTGGGCAATTCAATAATAAACTCAAAATCTTCAGGTACATGTACATGTACATGACGTACGTGTACGTACATGTACATGTACACGCTGACCCTGAAATCTTACCATATTTCAAACTGAATAATGTGCTTACATGTACACGTAAAAGGTTTTTGACAGTAATCTAATACAAGGTCATTTCAATGTCTTCAGTATTGAAAAGGCAAGCAAATTGCTGTCATATAGTCGAAATATACCGGTAGTAAATGTACAGTATGTACATGTATGTTTTACAACACGTACAGGACCAAAGTAACATACCATAAAAATTCTATATTTTGAATTGGTACGTACATTGTGTACATGCTGGATTACACATGTATATCGGTAAAAAAAAAATAACAAAAATTACAAGATCTTTCATTTCTGAAACCATGCCTTGATGTACATTGTAGTGACAATGCTTTCCAAAATTGAATAAACTTGAAAATGAAATTACATTTTTGCACAACACACAGTAACTGAACTGTGTTTTAAGAACAAAGTCTATATTGTGGTTCATTTGTAGTTATTACGCAAATGACAAACATTTGAATTCTTTGGTGTTTAAACTATTTTTGTCTAACTAAGAAATCATTAATTTAATGTACCGGCAATTTAAAGTGCTACGCAGTGGTAGGCTAAGACCAAAGGTTGGTTGTGAAAAATGGCGCGAGACGTCACGGCAATCATCCGTATAAGGCGGCATCCCTGCTCAATGCACCCTACGTGTCAAACTTAATGACGCGGTCAGCATAAGACAACCACTACACGCAGGGTGTCGCTGAACCATCACGCACTGCCGGCTACACGTAAATAATTGAAAAATGTTTGACGTCTGTAAAGATGACGGCCCATTTGGCACTTCGCGCCTCTCGTTCCCTGCGCCTCCCCCTTCCCCACAAATCGCACTGCGTGCCGCAAATAAATTGCCCGGGTTGAACCGTCTCGGATATTTCACAGCTTGCACTTACCCGGTGGTTTCTGTCCCGTTTACGTGAGGAAACTTCTTAACGATAAGACAGCTCCGAGCCGACAGTAGCAGCCCTTATCACAAGATTTCCCACTTTTCTAGCTGGCATGTATCGGTACATCTGCCTGTCTAGACAGAAATGGATAAAAGGAAGATTATTTTGGGCCAACCTGAACCTCTCAACCATGATAGTGGACCTTTCAAAGCACAGAATAATTCACATTAAGTCTTTCTTGAGCCAGCATGGCTCATCAGGCTGGTGTTTATCTCTAGTTATCTTGGCCTGAAAATATTTCTGTTCCATCACCTGGTTACTTGCCAGCTAACACAGTATACCCACACAGTCGTGAATTTCTATATGCCCAGGGACAATGCTTTGTGTTTCCCTTTTCCCCTGTAATATACATGTAACACTCTCCTATAGACTAAGCACATAACCGTACGTTCGAGGACCCTTTTCAACAAAAGACCCAACACTTGAGGACTGAAAGGATCTTTTGTTCTCCATTTGTGTGTCTGTTCTATCGAAAAGCCATACACCAGTTTTTACCTTACGTATACATTGTACATGTACCTAGTGTGGACATATTCCTTTGTTTGGGAAAAAAACTCATTTTACTCCAAAGCACTGTGAACACTCTTACAACCCATATTTTTTATCATGATTTCCTTGAGTGTACCTTTTCATTTTGCGACAGAACCCTAACCCAAAAATGCCTCTAAAACCTGTTTTCCAGAGAGGGGGAAACCTTGTGTGGACGTGGACAAGTCCACACAACGTCTCTGTTACCTGGTTAATGTGGACCACTTTTGTTCACAGGTCCACACAGTGAATGCTCTTGGGTGGAGAGAGGCAAGTGGGGTGTCTTGTCCAAGGACATAAAATAGAGGATTCAAACCCCTGGATTCGAACCCCTGACCATCTGATCTTGAATTCAAAGAACAAGAGGCAGAATATGAACCGGGCCTCAGTTTTGAGGCACGGTCTTGAACACGTTGGGCAAACGCACCATTTTCATTCATACCGGTACCTAAGACAGTTTACCCATTCTTATTGGTTGAGAGCCCTTCACGTGGCCAGTTTTAAACTGTTGATAAAGACCGGCTGGCTGGTCTTAAACACTTTTCCAGCGTCACATTAAATTTGGACTCATGTGAAATCCGGTGCCTTTAACGTTTTATTGGTTGAACGTTCACAATCCACACGTACATGTACATGTATGCGCAATACTACCACGGTGAGTCTGTATTTCATAGTCCTACGGTAAATTCATACTACACTGCACAGCTGCGTTCTGTGCCACATCACGCAGTAGGCGCGTGCCAATCTCCATATAAGGAGTTGTTTGCAACTACTTGCGAGAGGACCATACCATAGCATAGCTAGACTTTTGGACTGAAAAGTTTAGATTTTTTTTTAACCGAAAAGATATTTATGAATGGGAATAAATTTGGCTCGGGTAATTATCAGCATCCAGACTCCAACCGGTCTTAAAACATAGTGTTTAAAACCAGCCAAGCACACATTTATTTCCTTATATTCATACATTTTGTAAATGAGACAATTTACTCCCTCGAGTCACTCTACAGTGCATATTGTGTAATTTAGTCAAGAGCTTGTCACGTGGGTGGTTTAAAGCGCTGATAAAACACCAGCTGGTTTTAAACACAATTGCTGTGTTCTGGATCATATTGCGCAGTACGTGATATAAGAAGATGTTAAGCACAGTGCGCCCAAGGCACATGTACCATAGACATGGCCAAAGGGGTGTTTCACAAAAAACATGAAGTAATTTGTTGAAGAAAATCGTTCGAAATTTGTGAATATTTGACTTGTTTTGATTTTTTTGACGGAAAGATATAATTTATGAGTGGAAATACCGGCAAGTACCAGTATGTGCTTGGCCGGTTTTTAACAAGAACATGTATGTCTAAAACCAGTTAGGGCCTGGCCGCGCATAATTCGGCTTGGGCCATTATCGGCAACCAGGCCCCTAGTCGGTTTTAACGTACTTGTTTAAAACCTGCCAAGCACATATTTACAAATGTATTCCTGTACTGTACAAGATGTGGACACATGTACGTGTGCCACCATTCCAAAGTCTGTAACTACCAGTATGCACCACATGAACCTGAATCATAAACAAGTCTTGGTAAAAATGTATGGAAAATCAATTGCAATCTCTCCAGGAAATATGACTCCACAGTCGGACAACAAAAACATGACTGTGTCCCCTTTTGACAAGATTTGATAATTGGGACACCCTTCCGCGATCCTTCCAAAAACTTCTGGCAACACATGATTCATACATTTGCCTTGGCAAAAATACGTGGAAAATCAATTGCAATATCTCCAAGAAAAATGACTCGGCGGTCCGATCGACAAAAATATGACTGCGTCCCCTTTTGATAGATTTAATGACTGCGCTCTGTGTGAGTCACAGGCAAGCTGGCCCCCGGGCGCGTCCGTAATCTCCAAGACAGACTCCATTATTTAATTGTCCTCGCCTGACTCAGTATCATTCTTTCATTTATTTATTTTTTTCTCCCCCTCTCCCCGACAATTTCGTTGCACCAATATTTGCATCGTGTCTCCAGGAAAAATTGTGCAATGATAGTTTTGCTGGGTGATAAACGCATTTGGCCCACACCCATCTGGTTCCTAATATGGAATCTTTTTGTTGGCGGGCCTCGTGCATGTACTGATGTAATTTTGGTTTAGGTGCTACAATTTTAGTAATGTTGATTAAATTTACTTTCCACTTTTTACTACATGTACAATGTGGTATTCTAATTTCATGGATATTTATTCAGTACTTTACTTGTACCGGTACAGTATAAATAATTATTTTTGGAAGGAATACATAATTTTAAAAAATGAACAATTTTATCTCCTGCAGTAAACACTTTTCTTTTCTTTTTTTTACGAACAGATCTGTTAATTCTGATTTTATTGGCCCTTCATCCGGACTCAATTCGTCTGTGATTTTCACTGCAATTTGTTTGTGAAAATTTTCAGCATATATGACTAAATTCAAATCTTTTAAATCACATTATCAAATGAAACAATTTGCTATACATGGAATTTAAGGCGCTCGAAATGAAATTTTGCAGTAAGCACATAAATACAGAGCTATGGGATGTTAACATTTTGCACTTGTAACCCAAAGATCAGTGCTCATTTAACATTTGAAATAAAACGTCTGGTGCGCAAAATTTTCTTCTATTTTTAGCAGAAATTCTTCGCTCACGGTAAGCAGTGCGGCAGAATTGGACAATGGTTTTATCATAAATGCGTGCTGCACTGGCTGCTCTGCTACAAGGTCAAGCTATTTTTAGAAATACGGGAAAACAAGTCTGCCAATAATGTCGTAATAAGACACATACAACTTCGGTAAGTCTATTTTGGGATAATAGTATAAAAATCAGCCTACGGTCTTTAATCAGAGAACAAAATTTACTGATTTCTTATAGTATGTCTCTCCTCAAGCTATTTTTGGAGTTTCACAATAAAATAGTTTTGTTTATTGCTTAATTCTATTTTTCTAGCATTATACAATTAAGTCATTCACGTTCAGGTACGGCATATTTACATGTACTCAAATTTTTGGCCCGAGAATAATTCAGGTGTATGTTTGCCAGTGGATTACTGATGTAACAGCAACCCAACATGAATGTAAAAGCCTATTTTCAGGGGGATGAAAACCTCCAAAATAGAAAAAGTAACTTGTTTTCCCTCTTTTGTTTAAAATTATACAAATTGAAAATTCGTTAGGAAAAAGAAATTGAGCATGACGCAGAGCTAAACCTGAAATTGAAATAAACACGAAATATATGCACGACTTTTATTTATCTTCAATTTATAAACATGTTAGGAAATGTTTTCCTCGAGCCGCGCGCCAAAGAGTTCCAGTCCACAGCCGATGATGAAGTAACTCGCTGAGTCAAACCCATTAATCACGCGCTGCCGGTACATCGGGGCAAATTACTGAACGGAAAGCCAAGCGCATCCTGCAATTCCGTGAATCATAACAACCACCATCGATCATTTGGGGGGTCTTCTATGATAACATCGTTTTGATTATGCTATGATGACCGGGGCTAAATTAGCGATCGTTGCTTCTGAGGTTCGTGTCTTGCAGATGTACGGTACATATATATGTACTGTACATGCACATATTATGTACATGTACATGTACATATCATGTACAGTACGTGTTGGATAGGGATGCTCAAATGAAGATTTTACCTCGCTTTCAATTTAATATGGCCAACTCTTTAATCAAGCCTATTTTCCTCACAAGGGACGATATATATATTTTTTTAAGGTAACCATTTTTTGAGGAGTGATTTGGTTTCTTCTTATTAAACGGGGGGGTGTTATTAAAGTGAAATTTCTTTAAAAATTAAATCGTAAAATACACTTTTTTATGCAAGAAACTTTGGTAGAGATGTTTGGGTTTTTGAAGTTAACCTTTTGTTTTAGGAGCAACAGATTTTTTTTTTTTTTTTAGGCAGGGGTTTTAAATGTTCAACTGTCGTAAATGGGGTTTCCTAAAATTGTAAAATTAATTTTTAAACAAGAGAATTTGGTAGGGGAGGCTAAATCGAATAATACAACATTTATTTTAAGAATGTTACCAATTTTGGAGGAGTGATATGGCCTTTGTTTTTTTTGGGGGGGGGGGGGTGTTTCCAAATTTGGGAAATTTGGAAATCTAAGGTTGCCTAAGTTGTCAGTTGTGAAAATATTTATTACAAACACATTTGGGAGGCTTAAAAATGTTGGTGCGGAGGGGTGACCAATTTTTCTAGAACCTGCTCTTGTTTTTCTGCAAATTTGGCCCATCAGGCCGGCATTTATCTCCAGTTTCCATAGCATGAAACAACTGAGAATATTTCTATTCCCCCTGGACAATGTGGACCACATTTGACCAAGCAGCTGGATTCGAACCCCTGACCCTCTGATCATGAGTCACGAACCATAACCAGTGGCCACACTAGGGGAAGGGGAATATACCGGTATCAGAAACGGAATTTCACTGATTTTGCACACTTGTCAGGCATGCAACTGGGAAGTTAGAAACAAACTGAGGAAACTCCAAACCACACAAGACTCTGTACAGTGT